AAATGAAGGAAAGGATATTTCCTATGGCCCGATGGCCTTAACAAAGAACTAGCACCTTTCAAGCCTATAAATATCATATCAAATGTGTATATCTAAAGCGCTCCAATAATGTCACCCTGTTTTATTCCCCGTGCTTCATTTGTTTTCAAATTTGCTTCGGCCTGATGGAGGAAATATTTACAAGTTGCTGACCAAAAATCTAGCCACCAGCCCGAAGACTTGGTAACCACATAGAACATAAAGTTTGTGGGATAGAAACGTTTCTTAGGAAACTTTGAGCGCATCCACTGCCGTTTGGGGTTCAAAATGTTTTTTTACAAATCCAGAATCTTGGAAATTTCGAAGCGAGTTTATCACGCTGAACAGCTGGACTCCGACTGCCCACTGATTAGTTTACAATTATTCTGAATGGCTCCTTCGCTGCAGCTGCAACGTATCTCATCCTCTCAATAATTGCGATCGATCTCACCTGACAACATTTCAACAGTCTTTCTGCATAATTTTCAATATATACGAAAAGAGAATTTTTCGATGACAGCATAATTTTTGCTTTCTACTTTCGCTACGCTCCTAAGTTATTTATTTATTTGCTCATGCATTTATTTATTTATTCCGTTGGAGTTTTATCTACATATCTGTTCGCTCACAAAGAGCTGTCCAAAATGAAGTAGGCAGGCAGTAGGAACTGAGATTTCGAATATTTGATACAATAAATACTTCGCAAAATTTCGGCACATTTGAAAATTTTAGGTACGGAAGATCGAAATTATGAAATTATGATGTACATACATATGATTGGAATAATTAACATTCGTATAGGATAAAAATTGCAATATTCGACTTCGAATTCAGACATTCTATAGAATCGATAGTTATTCATGGAATCATGCGAATTGGAGTGTTGATAGGCTTTGATCCCAAAACGAAACAATTCCAAAAAGTCACTCCTCAATGTCTAAATCCGAAATTCCCGTTTCGATTTTCTTGTTTAACTTCTGCGAGCGTACTGTTAGTAATAAAGATTGTAATAAATCAAACTAAAAATAAATAAACAAGTTAATAAATATATCTCATATATCTCTCTAGATCTCTATGAAACACCTCTCTAATTCTCCGGAAATAAAAGGGATATAAAACTGTTCCACCTCCACATGCACACATAATACGCCGACACTCATAATAGCTAATAATCAGAGTAGATTCGTCTTCCCTACCCGTTGATAATGCTTAGGTTCATTTTTTGTTCCGAGATACCTTACATTTATAGGGTTCTTGGGAAATTTTTGGGATGGTGCGATTTTTTGTTTTCTATCTTTTAGACTAAATTTATTTATTTATTTATTTATTTATTACTATGCACTCGTAGGTGCACTACAACAATTCTTCAGGAAACAAATCAGATATAAATCAGGAGCATTGATTTAAAATAAAATCAAATTAGTACTATTTTAATTATTAATTTACTAATTATTCAAACAATACGTAATGATCCACATTACCTTACCTTATGTAGAGGTTTCATCCTACTCTACATGTGGCAATTCTCCGAACTCCCGAAAACTATCGGAAAAAAAATTGAAACGTTCGATGTAAATTTTCCTACAGCTCATGACTAGATTTTCTGATAGTTTTCGAGATCTCTTTTGAATGTTACTTTCACCAAAACTGCCAAATCCCGCTGCAACTCTCCTTCGAAAATGAATTTGTGTTTTCGAATCGAGATCAGCGGTTTTCAGAATCACTCCTTGTGTCTTATCCTCCTGCATACCATTCCTTAAAAACCTAACAGCCCCTACCCTTCATGAAAGCTTCGAAATCTTCAAATATCGCGCTCAGCTGCTGCGTAATGCTCGCGCTGATACGCAGGCCTGATGTGTCGACGCAGTCAAAAGGAGGTATGCCAACGCCACGTACACTGCTGGGCGTACACACTTCCTTATTCCAAATTCCGTTTTCGCATTGTCCTCCATCAAAAGAGCCAGTCGTTTGCGGGTCTGGTGCTAATTTAGCACTTCTTTGTGCAGCAGTTTGCTCCTGATGCTTTCCTGCTGATTTCGTACAGAGCTTTCGCTCCAATAGCATCTACGCCAGCGTGAAATGCGATAGCCATGTGAATCACTGCCATTACCACTACGTTACGTAGCACGACCATACATACTGCTGCTATTTTGTAGTAACCAAGCTGTTCTCGTGAACAGCTGTTTTGATACTATTTAGTAGCGATCAATGCCACGCCATACATTAACCCATTGCTCCCCTTTGCTCATTATTAATACATTTAATCTAATAATAATAGCATTTATCGGAACAAGATTATTGAAATATTAAATTGGTACAGGTTGGAAAGATCACACTGCGACATAGCGTCTATGTGAAAGGCTGTCTTTTCTATGGGGAAAAGGGCATAGGATTTGAGCGTTGTATGATAGTGAATTGGCATCTTTGTCTTTTCAGCAATTGAAATCTGAATATAATTTTTAATCTGCCTTGATGTGCCTTCGATTTTAACACTGTTCAAATTTTTCTTCCAGACTTTCGCAGTTATTCATTTTACAGTAACTGTAATAGGCGTCATCTGTCTTCAAAGGTTGCTAGTCTTTACGAAGTTCTTTTTGAAAATCACCACCTGACACACTCTTCCTGCTAGGCTTTACTGCCTCAAAAATTCAGCTCTCTCCTTGAATTCCGTTGCTTCCAGATAATACCAAAAAATCCTATCTGCAGTATTGAGTCTTCATGGAGGATAACCAGTAAAATGTCTAATGTGAAAGTGGTTCAATTTATGATAGCGCAAACCCTATACACTGAGATCACTCCTACACTGGAAGCCTTTAGGAGTCACTAATCGGGATCCTAACCGTTAGTACCGTTACGCGCATTCCATCAGCATACCGTTATTAGGTCTGGCCCAGTTCGTCGGGGTCACCAGCTGTTCCCGAAATAAACATGTATGGCAGCACTCACAAATCCTCAATCTAGTCAGAGCATGGTAGTGTGAAGCCAAAGCCAAACTGGCTGCTACACTCTAATAAAGCAGTTCCCGTTCCGGGCGGTGTGTCATCGGCTTCATCATTTCTTAAAATGTAAACATAACACAAAAATTGGCTCAATTCCTCGCGATAGCTGGCTCATTTCTCATAGCAATCGTCGCTCTGCAGTCTCACTACAAAAAGTTGTCCAGGTGAGTAGCAATAGGAGCTCATGCACCTCAAGTTCGCCCTCACGCCGCAGGCACGACGAGCAACCCAGCTATTACACTAGTCGAACCCAGCCGGGCAGCGGTCAACGAAACCAGACGTCCGCTAGAACAAACTTCTCCAGCGATGCCTTTTCTCGGCCGCCCTCTCCTCTACTCTCCATTGAATTTATTATTTAAATGAAAATCTCGCTTCCTGATGAACTTGCTTACTTCTCAATAATTCTTCGAATATACAATCATTTCAGCTTTCGAAGGGAAGCTCGCAGCAAGTCAAAAATGGAAGCGGAGAAGGAACAGCGAAGGCGTGAGTAGCACCTTTTCGAAGCTTGACCAATTCAATTCAGACGTTTGAAGTTTACATTTCAAACAGATCGCTGCGTCGTGATAAACAAGTCCTCCAATATTGATCTCCATCAAAACCCTTTCAGCTTGTTGTAAAAGCTAGTAAATCGACCTAGACAGATTTTCGGCATTCGAACGAAATCTTACGAAGAATCTCCTGTTCTCAGAAATGTTTTGGCCATGATTTTTCTTCATTCGAAACGGAGGTTTCAGTAAAGTAATCATGACGCTGCTAAAGCAGGACGTGCTAGGCACGTCTACCAATGACGAAGGACATGAATCATTTCCTACGGCTTTCAAGGGCTCTACTATTGTTCTAATGAAAGTACCCGAAACCAGAGTTAGTTGTTGTACCAAGACAACCCAAGGGATTGGGTAGGGTAGAGTTTCGAACATATGGAAAGTAACCCGTTTCGGCCGTTATGCCTCCCGCTGTCCGACAGGACAGGATTTCCTGAGAAGTGATTACGTCAGTAATTACAGGATCACTGTAGAAACACAGTAGTAGAAAGGGGGAGGCGTAAAAATTATGAAATTTTGAAATTGGCCTGCTGTACTGTGCCTCCATCACTAAAGAA